CGTGCTTTGGGTGCCCAGCCTTGCTGCAAACCTGATTTCCGTGCGGCGGTTGGCAAAGGCCGGCATGGACACGAGCTCGAAGGGAGCCAAGACCTACACCGCAAGGCTTGGCGATCGAATTCTTTGGGACCTTCATGAGGACAGGGATGTCTACAACGAGATGTGGCAGATCCCAGTGGTCCCTATGCCTAAGGAGAGGCAAGTGGCAGCAAGCATCAGCACCAAGGATGGAGCGGTCGGTAGCGACGATGGCGCGAACGGTCGCGCTAAGGAGAATGAGCTCAAGAAGAGCAAACCTGGAGGGACCAGCAAGTTCAGTGAACCTAAGGAGAGTGGTGCAGCAACCAAGGAGCAGCAAAAGGGTGAGGAGAACCCAGAGGCAGCAGCGGAGGAGGACTACGGAGAGAGTATGTGGGGCGCTATTGCGAGCGCGGCATTCTCCAATCCAACTTCGGCTACGGGGGAGTGTGATTGGCTCACCTTGCATCGACGCATGGGGCATGTGGCCCTGCCCATCTTGCAGCAGCTAGTGAAGAATGAGATGGTTGCTGGCATACGTGTGAAGGGGGAGCCCGATGAGGTGCTTGGCTGCCCGACGTGCATTCAAGCCAAGTTCACCCGGTTTCCGTTCCCTAGTTCGGAGGCAACGGCAAAGGCACCGCTTGATGAGGTGGTGATGGACGTGGTGGGCCCCCTGAAGCTTGGAGCTGCTGGAGCTGAGTATTTTCTCACCATTGTCGACGTCTACACCCGCATGACTTGGGTGTACGTGCTGGCCAAGAAGAGCGACGTGGCTGAAACGTTGAAGACGGATTGGTTCCCGATGGTGGAGCGGCAACAAGACTGTCTAGTCAAGTCAATCCGCACCGATCGAGGGGGAGAGTTCCTGAGCAAGGAGTTTGGGTTGTGGCTGAAGAAGAATGGTATTCGGCACTCCCTCACCATGCCATACTCCCCTGCAATGAACGGCATCGCCGAGCGAGCGAACCGCACAATCACGGAGGCGGCACGCGGGTTGCTCATTGAAGCCGGGCTACCCGACTATTTCTGGCCTGATGCGGTGCGGAGCGCGTGTGTGGCCAAGAACAGAGCCTTGACTCATGTGGGAGCAGACAAATGGGTGCCCTATGTGGAGTGGCTAGGAAGGAAGCCAAAGGTGGATATGCTTCGGGTGTTCGGGTGCATGTGCATGGCGCTCGTGCCTAAGCATCTTCGGCACAACAAGCTTGGTGCCAAGGCGGTGTGGGCCGTGCACTTGGGCATGGCTCAAAACAGCAAGGGATGGCTTCTTTGGGACCCATTCACCTAGAAGTTCTTGGTGAGCAGGGACTGCAAGTTCATGGAGAACTTCATGTACAAGGATTGGAAGGCGGAGAATGAGGCGAAGATAGGCGTGCGGTTTGGGGAGGTGAAGAGTTCCGGTTTGGAGCATGTGGAGCTGCCTTTGGAGCTGAGCAGCGGCAGCACAACCACAAGGCAATCCTCCCTTGTGAATGGGGGAGAGGAGGCCAATGATGCAGAGGAAGAAGAGGAGGAGGTGCAGCAAGTGAGCGAGCGTGCACCGTCACTCCCTTCCCGTACTACGAGTGCTCCACGGATTCGAGCCACACCGCAGCAACGCCAAGGCCTTCAAGTCCCTGCAGCTGAGGAGGAAGGAAGGGGGAAGAGGAGAGTTCAACCCCCTAATAGGCTGACCTATGATGCGCCGGGAAAGCAGGGCAAGACAGCCCTGGCCGGAGCGGCAATGATGGTCGGAGACGACGAGGAGAGTGACTACGAGGAGTGTGCCTTCGCGTTCTTCTCTCCGGTGGAGATGCCGGGAGAACCAGCAACTCTCAAGGAGGCTTTGGAGAGTAGTGATGCTGAGGAGTGGAAGAAGGCCATGGAGAGTGAGCTGAAGAGCATCGAGGAGAATGACACGTTTGAATTGGTGGAGCTACCGGAGGGGCGTACGGCGATAACGTCCAAGTGGCTCTTCAAAATCAAGTCGGATGCCGACGGCAAGATCGAGCGCTACAAGTCTAGGCTTGTAGCCAAGGGGTACCAGCAGAAGGAGAAGGTGGACTTCAAGGAGCTGTTTGCCCCTGTGGTGAAGCCGACGACGCTGCGAACCCTATTCGCGGGAGCCGCCATCAAAGGATGGGTAGTAAAGCAAATGGACATCGTAACGGCATTCCTTAACGGCATCCTTGAGGAGGAGATTTTTATGGCGCAGCCAGAGGGGTTTGATGATGGTAGTGGCAGAGTGTGGAAGCTGAAGAAGGCCCTCTATGGGCTGAAGCAGGCCCCTAGGCAATGGTACATGAAGCTGCGCGAAGTGTTGGAGGGGATCGGCTTCACTCCCTCAACGGCCGATCACTCCTTGTTCATGCTTGGCGAGGGGGAGCAGAGGAGTTTCATGGTGGTTTATGTGGATGACATCCTCATTTTCTTACCCTCTTCTGACCTTGTGAAGGAGGTGATGCTGAAGCTTCAAGACAAGTTCAAGTGCAAGGCCCTTGGTGACGTGAGCTTCTACCTTGGGCTCCACATCGAACGAGATGTGGAGAAGCGGTGCATGCGGGTGCATCAACGAAAGTACCTGGATGCATTGGCTGCCAACTTTGGGCAGAGTGAAGGCCATGTGGCTACACCCTTTCCCTCTGGGTTCAAGTGTGTGAAGGGACCAGAGGAGGAGAGCGTTGGTGAAGAGGAGAGGCGCCGATTTCACTCGTTGGTGGGCAGCCTCATGTATGCGGCGGTAAACACCCGACCGGACGTCGCGTTTGCTACCGGGCAGCTGGCTAGGGTTGTGCAATGCCCTAATGAGGAGCAGGTAGCAGCTGGAATGAGGGTGGCCAAGTATCTTGGCCAAACACCGACCGTTGGGCTGCAATACTCGGCGGCGGCACAAAGGCGCCAAAAGGGCGCGGATGGTGTTGAACCCGGGCGTTTGTTCCTCACCGCCTACTCGGATGCTTCATATGCATCAGAACCAGAGGACATGACAAGTGTGGGAGGCTTCATATGCTGTGTTGGTGGAGGCCCAACTGCTTGGGAGAGCAAGAAGCAGGTTGACCAAGCTTTGAGCTCGGTGGAGTCCGAGTACATGGCACTCTTCCGTGCCGTACGGGAGATTGTGTGGCAGCGGCGTTTGTTGGCTGAATTGGGGGAGGAGCAGCAAGGACCTACCCCACTGTACTGTGACAGCCAGGGTGCCATTGCTCTTGCTAAGAACCCTGTGTTGCATGGACTCACGAAGCACATGAGGGTGAAGTGGCATTGGACGAGGAGCATGGTAACCGCGGGTGAAGTTGAGTTGCGCTACGTGAAGACCACGGGGCAGCCGGCTGACATGATGACCAAGAGGCTGGTGGAGCAGCAGCATTGGAAGTGTTGCAAGCTGGCTGGGATGGCTCTGAACTGAGAGAGCAACATATCCTAAGGCCAACAATCCGAGGGGGAGTTTGTTGGTGCAACCCTACGGTTTGCACTCGGCTTGTTGTCCGTGTGCGTGCATGTGTGTGTGTATGGAATGGTATGAGAGCATGGGATAATATATATTTCATGCTTATAATTGTGTGTGAATGTTAAGTCATGATGTCGAGTGTGTGTGTCGAGTCAATAGCGAGTTATCGCTAGACGCGTGTTACGCGGTCGTTTGTGTCTCGCGCGCGGTTTCTATTTTGTCGTGCGCGGTTTCTATTTTGTCGTGCGCGGTTTCTATTTTGTCCTGTGTCGAACGTTCGGTGTGTCGCAGGTGTGTGCAGCAGACCCATCAAGAACTCAAGGATGAGTTTGTGATGAAGAGCCCGAGCCTTGGTGTCAAGCCTCAAGTGATTTCGAAGCTCGCCAAAAGGGTACACCTCAAGATATTGAAGATTTGGTACATTACTTTGTGTAGTGTAACATTTCACTTGGTGTAGGCCCTAGTGAAGGGTAGTTTCGAGACCCTTCGTGGTTGGGGACAGTGTGGCACTGTTCCACATCACTGTACCTCGGCTCTTGGGGTTTGTAGGAGCTGGGAGTCATTCCCAACTCGTAACTCTTCCTATCTTCTGTTCTAAGACTATAGTGGCTGCCATAGTACCGTTCGTTCAAACCAACGCTGTGTCGTCAATTCTTTATCAAATCGTGCAATCTAAATTGCTAATTGTAGACGACGTGAAGACGCTCCAGATCCAATTTGAATCAAGTCATTTGCAGCTGTGAGCAGAACGCTATCAACGTTTGAAGCCGCTGTGCAGAAATCCGTCTGTGCTCTCTATCTTTCGTTTTAGGCACATTCAAGCCTCTTGTGACTATAACAGTAGCGAGGATTGCACTAAGTTGTCAAATGAGTACAAAATGTGAGCGAAGGCATGAGCGAACATTTATGTGCGAAACATGCAAACTGTAACTCGGTGCGTGCGAGCTAGCTAGTGCTAAGCTGGCATCGAGGCTCAGGCTAGTCCTGAAGCGTAGGCCGACAAGGCCAGGCCAGCGGTGCATGGTTTGGTGAAACAGTGCGCTCGAAGTTGGCGAAGCCCCGTTAGCAGTAACGGGCGAACAACAGCTGCTGCTGTACGCGATGTTGCCGGCCTTGGTAAGGAATGTCGAGAAAATTCCTTATAGGGTGAGTCATGAAACAGTTACGACAGTGGCTGTATTCTTGTTATAGTGGAACCCCTTCTATTTAAAACAAGACTCGACGATATCGTCGGAAGGGTTGCGTAGTTAGCTAAGTTCATACTATTAATCATTCTTTGTTAATTTAAATTTATTTCAAGCCATGATACCCAAGTCATTCCCATTTATTAGAAGACGACATTCTTGTTTCGTACTGTTACGTCATTTTTTTCCTGTGATGTGTTTTTTTCCTTTGATGTTAGATATTGTGTAACCATTATTGAATATCAATTATAATTGCTGCTTTTTACAGTGATGTGTATAGGCAACCTATCAAGTATAACATACTGTCAGGTTGTTGGTCTAGCGGGTGTACCGTGATGTGTTGCTTTGAAGTTGACGCACTTCATTGGATGTGTTACGCCATTACGTGTGTGTCTCACGTGACACTAGCTTCCAAAAAGAATTTGTGTGTGCCGTTTTTTTTTTAACCTAGTACTCCGGTTTTGTCTAATTTTCAGTTCGACCCATATTTGTTTGTGTTCGATGTATAATGCTCATGCCTTGATTTCCCGTCGCTTGTTTTCATCGAACATTTGCAAAACAGGCCCAAGAACCGGATCACTTCAAGAAACTACACTTTGCCAACCCAAGTTGCACTGTACGTATGCTCTTCCACTTTTTTGCATCTTCCCCAATCCCTTCGTCTCCCACCCCAACTCAACAAACCCTTCCCCCTCCCACCTCGCCTCTCGTCTTCTCGTCGCATCTCCCACCCACCTCGCCATCATCTCTCCCTCTCACCCAGCCGTTCGCCTCTTCCTGCCATTCCGTTGTCGGCTCTCCCTCTACCCCGCCATCACCTCTCCCTCCTATCCCGCCGTCTCCTCTTTCTCTCACCCCGCGGTCGCTTCCCTCCCATCCCGTTGTCACCTCTTCCTTTCGTTCGCCGTTGCCTCTCGCTCTTACCCGCCACCGCCTCTCCTTCACATCCCGCCGTCGCCTCCCCCTTGCATCCCGCCGTTGCCTCCCCCTCACATCCTTCGCCTCCCCCTCACATCCCGCCGTCGCCTCCCCCTCACATCCCGCCGTCGCCTCCCCCTCACATCCCGCCGTCGCCTCCCCCTCACATCCCGCCGTCGCCTCTCCTCTCACCGCCGTCGCCTCCCCTTCACATCCCGCCGTCGCCTCTCCCCTACATCCCGCCGTTGCCTCCCTCCCATATCCCGCCTCGCCTCCCCCTTCGCATCCCGTCGTCGCCTCTCCCCTACATCCCGCCGTCGCCTCCCCCTCACATCCCGCCGTCGCCTCTCCTCTCACGGCCGTCGCCTCCCCCTCACATCTCGCCGTCGCCGCTGACGATAGCTGCACGAGCGCGAGCTGGCGGGCGAGCGCGAGATGGTTTCTTAGCGCCGTGATTCTGATGTGCGCTTACCTATCCCGGTCTTTTTCTCCTCCTTTTGTCAGAACTATGCATTTATATGCTCTAGGCTGTAGTGGGGCACTCCTTATGGGGTACAGCCCAAATAGGTTTTGCTATACAAACTCTGTACTGCTGTTGTTCTAGTCATTCTTCATTCCTACTTTCTGTCATGGTTTCAGAGCAGGTTCCCTAGTGGGAACGTTTTTTTAAGGGCCCCACGATTTTTTTTACTGCCCTGCCCGAAGCGCGCCTCGCGCCTGCCTCACCTGCGCCGTCGCGCGCCCTGCCCTACTGCCGCCCGTAGCGGCCCTGCCCTCCCGGCCCGTCGCGGCCCTGCCCTAATGGCCGGTCTCCGCCCTGACCTAGCCGCCCGTCGCGGCCCTGCCCTGTCGCCGCCCGTCGCGGCCTGCCCTAGCCGCCCGTCACGGCCCTGCCTTGCCGCCACCCGTCGCGGCCCTGCCCTCAGCCGCTCGTCGCGGCCCTGCTCTACCGCCGCCCCGTCGCGGCCCTTCCCTGCAGCCGCCTTGTCACGGCCCTGCCCTGCTGCCGCCCCGTCGCGGCCCTGCTCTACCGCCGCCTCGTCGCGGCCCTGCCCTGCTGCCGCCCCGTCGCGGCCCTGCTCTACCGCCGCCTCGTCGCGGCCCTGCCCTGCTGCCGCCCCGTCGCGGCCCTACTCTACCACCGCCTCATCGCGGCCGTGCCCTACAGCCGCCCCGTTGCGGCCCTGCCCTAACCGCCAGTCGCGGCCCTGCCCTGCACCTGCCCCTGGTAAGCGCCCGCCCTGCTAAGCGCGCCGCTGCGCCCGCCTGCCTGCCGCGCCGCGCCGCCCAGCCGAGCCGCGCCGCCCAGCCGAGCCGCGCCACCCTGCCGAGCCGCGCCGCCCTGCCCTACTGCTACTGCTGCTGCTACTGCCGCCATGGCTAGCCCTACTGTTCTTACCTTCGATGCTGAGGGTCGTGCGGTCGATTTCGACATTTGGGTAGATGACCTGCAGCTCTATCTTCAGTGCGACTCTAGGGACGGAGTCTCGCTTTTCGATCACACGTCCGGCGCCTTTGTTGCACCTGCTGCTGATGCTGACAGTACGGTTCGCTCGCAGTGGACTACTCGTGACAGTGTTGCTCGCCTTGCTGTTCGTAGTCACCTGCCGTCTGCTGAGCGCGTGCACTTTGGCCAGTACAAGACTGCTAAGTCTTTGTATGACGCTGTCGTCGCACGCTACTCCTCCCCTACCACTGCTACCCTCAGCCGCCTCATGCTGCAGTACTTGTTCCCTAACCTGGCCTCTTTTGCCACAGTCGCTGACCTCATCACTCACCTCCGCACTCACCAACAATCCAATTTGTTGCGAGAATATTCAGAATACCATCGGGGCCAGCTTGAATAAGAATGAGTGCCAACAATGTGTCCCTCCTGTTTCCCATTTCACCTTGGTGGCCCAATCTGTTATGGATTGTACTAACAGAGTGCACGGAAGACTTCTATAAAGAGAACGTGATTCCAGCATCATGAAACAATGAAGAAAGCGAGCATTTATAGGGCGGAAACTAGCTAGGCGAGAACCTCGTGATGTGCGTGGCTCGGAAATGTCGCGATTGGTGATGGGCGACTCGGAAGTGGTTTGGGCCAAAATGTAGGCCGAACCTGAAATTGACGCGCAGTGTTCGGGGCTGTCATCGCTACGAGCAGCCTCTACAGTAATGAATTGTAATTCATTACACTCGCCCACCTTCTAGATAAAGGCCCCCTTATCTGTAGTCGAGTCTTGCGGTAGCTGGAAAACTGCAGATCTCGGACGAAACTGATGTGACGGTGCAGAAGCACGTTGACGTTCAAGTTGACGCGTGGCTGACCGCGTTGACCAGGCGAACTTTAAAGAGTTGGGTGTCAGCCGTTGTTATTGCCGATATCGATCGGGCGGTTAAAAGCGAATGTCGATTTGAAATCCTTCGATGAATGAAAACCGTCGATGTGGCGGATCTGTGTCGGACGGTCGAGATGAACGTGTTGGTGACGGGAATTCTTACGCGTTGTCAGAGATCGACTGAATCAGGACACGTCGATGTCGATGGAGTAATTGCGAGCGTCCGTTGTGCTGGATGGGTCAGACAGATCTGTCAGGAAAAACTGACAAGTACAGTGCGAGAGAACTCTCCCCCCCCCTTTGAAAAGGACTGCCACCCCAAAATCTCCGCGTGGCAGCATCGAATCACCCTTCTGCTGCAGTATCTTCGGTTGCCAGTACCTGCAACCCCGAAACTGCTGCTGTTGGCGTGTTGATGTGGCAGAATCGAAATCCCCGATTGCTGCAGTATCTCCAGCTGTCAGGTGCTGCCACCCAAAAAACTCCACTTCGTCACATGTTGAACCTGTGGACATTGTCGTCTGTAGCAGGACGACGAAGGAACTGTCCTGAAAATCTTTGGTCGTGATTCCGGATTGTGTAGGTTGTCAGAACTATATTGTAGGCTGTAGTGGGGCACTCCTTATGGGGTACAGTATTGTTAGGTTTTGCCTATACAAACCTTGTACTGCCCTGTTTCTAGTCATTCTCATTTCATACCTTGTGACATGGTTTCAGAGAAGATTCCCTAGTGGGAACGTTTTTTTAGGGCCCACCGTGTTATTTTTTTTTTTATTGCCCTGCCCGAAGCACGCGTCGCGCCTGCCTCGCCCTAGTGCCGCCCTTAGCGGCCCTGCCCTTTGCGGCCCGTCGCGCCCTTCCCCTACGGCCCGTCGAGGCCCGATCTCGCCGCCCTTAGCGGCCCGCCCTGCAGTCGCCATCCTTAGCTGCCCGCCCTGCCGTCGCCGCCCTTAGCAGCCTGCCCGCCCCGTTGTCGCGGCCCTACCTACCCTGTCGCCCGTCGCGGCCCTGCTTTGCCGGCCGTCACGGCCCTGCCCTGCCGCCCTTCGCCACGGCCCTGCCCCACCGCCCTACGTCGCGGCCCCTGACCTGCGGCCGCCGTCGCGGCCCCTGACCTGCCGCCCCACGTCGCGGCCCCTTACCCTTCAGCAGCCGCCGAGGCCCCGTGGCCTGCAGCAACCGTCGCCCCTGCTGCCGCCGTAGCGGCCCTGCTGCCGCCGTCGAGCCTGCAGCCGCCGGTGCAATCGCCGTCGTCGTCGCCGTTGAGGCCCCGCCGTCGCGGCCCTGCCCTGCCGCCCTGACGCGGCCCTGACCTGCCGCCGAATCGCGGCCCTGCCCTGCCGCCTTGTCGCGGCCCTCCTTGTCGCGGCCCCTACCCTGCTAGCGCGCCACGGCCCTGCCCCACCAGTTGCGGCCTCTACCCTCCCCTCCCGCCACTGGTAAGCGCACCGCCGCAGCCGCGCCGCCCTGTCGAGCCGCGCCGCCCTGTCGAGCCGCGCCGGCCTGCCGAGCCGCGCCGCCCTGCCGAGCCGCGCCGCCCTGCCGAGTCGCGCCGCCCTGCCGAGTCGCGCTGCTACTGCTGCTGCTGTTGCTAGGCTACTTCTGCTGCTACTGCCGTCATGGCTAGCCTTAATGTCCTTACCTTCGATGCTGAGGGTCGAGCAGTCGATTTCGAGGTCTGTGTCGATGATCTGCAGCTTTTTCTGCATTTTGACTCTAGGGATGGAGTCTCACTGTTCGATCACACGTCCGGCGTCTCTGTTGCACTTGCTGCCGATGCTGACAGTGCACTCCGCTCGTAGTGGACCACGCGCGATGCTGCTGCTCGTCTTGCTGTTCGTAGTCACCTGCCGTCTGCTGAGCGCGCGCACTTTAGCCAGTACAAGACTGCTAAGACTCTGTACGACGCTGTTGTTGCGCGCTACTCCTCCCCTGCCACTGCTGCCCTTAGCCGCCTCATGCTGCTGTACCTGTTTCCTGACCTAGCCGCTTTTGCCACTGTCGCTGACCTCATTACGCACCTCCGCACTAGTGACACCCGCTACCGCGCTGCGCTTCCTCCCGAGTTCTGCGCCAAGAACCCCCCCCCTATGTACATCACTCTCTACTACCTCGTCACCCGCCTTCCTGACTCCCTTCGCTCAGTCAGGGATCACTTCCTCTCCCTTTGCCCCACCACGCTCACCGTTGACCCCCTCGAGGAGCGCCTCCTTGCAGCTGAGAAGAGTATAGTCGCTGTAGGAGCCTCTCGTGGTGACCCTCGTGTCCCTTGCTTTGAGGGGTGCTCCCCCGTCCCCCTTTTGCCCTCTGTTGCCTCTGTTGCTGCTGTCGACCTCGTTGGCACCGAGTCGGTCGGCGCTGCGTGTGCTCCTAGTGGGAGGCGCCGCAGCAGCAGGAGCAAGGGGGGCAAGGGTGCTGGAGGAGACGGCGGGAGCGGCGGTGGTGGCGGTGGAGGCGGCGGAGGGGGTGGGGGTGGAGGTGGGGGTGGTGGCGGGATTGGGGGCTTCGGCGGCGGCGGTGGAGGTGGAGGCGGCGGCGGCAGCGGCAGTGGGGGTGGCGGAGGCGGCAGCGGCGGTGGGGGTGGTGGTGGCGGTGGTGCTGATCGGGGTGGCGCTGTGCAGCAGGGAGGTCCTGGTGGTGGCCAGCGCCAGCAGCAGCAGCGTTCTCGTGAGACCCTGTCGGCCCAGCAGCTTCGTGAGTGGTACGCTGGGCGTGGGAGGTCTGGGGGTGCTGGTCCTTGTGCTTACGATCTCCGCACCGGCGAGCGCAGTGGGGAGACGTGCGGAGGACCGCACGCCACGCACCGCTGTTTCGGCCGCCTGACGGACGCCTGGCGTACACAGTTTCCAGACGCCACTGAGCTCCCTCGCTGGGGTGATCTACTTAGGTCGGGTGTTGCTATTTTTTATCTTGATTATGATGCTATCCTTGCTGCTATGTATGCTGTGACTATTAGTGCTGAGGGTGACTGTTACCTGTGTGTTCCGCCCGACCCGGGCATTGAGGCTGCTGCTCTAGGTGCTAGTGAGTCTGCTGCTCCAGGTGCTGGTGAGTCTGCTCTCTCAGGTACCG